AAAAAACTAGAAACTTAAGTTTTCAGTAAAAAATAAGAACTTAAAAAAAAGAAACTGAACATTTGTTTGATTATTTACTTATTGGTAGCCAAATTTTTCCTTTACTGCTTTTTGCCAACCAAATGTCTTTCAAAAGTCACTAAACTATTGATGAAAAGATGAAAATTTATTATACTTTCTTTTGCTGTTCCACATAACCGCACAACTAAAACAGATTAACATCTTTAGTAATTGGATATGTCACAAAAACATTCTTTTTTTTCACCGTGTTCCACAATGATGCTTCAGAAAACTTTAACTGTTTCTTTTTTTTCTTTCATTTTTTTCAGGTGATTTTAAAACTACACATTTTTTAAAAAATTCTGGCTGTTCTGCTAACAAGCATGACGTTACTGTGCTTCTGCTGTATCAGTTTGTTGCTAATCACCGTGGTATCAGCACGACCACCAACACCAGAGGAAGAGTTGAAGGAACAGGAGATTAATGAAGTCAAAAGTGACTACGATACACTTCCAGCTTATGCGTATTTTCCAGACAGTGTCAAAGAGATTTTGAAGAAGGAAAAAATGCGTTATTTACAACTGCTGCAACAGCAAACATTATAGAATATTGTCAAAGCAGAACGTTTTATGTTCACTTCAATGACTTGTACATAACTGAAGAAATTATCACCGCAAAATCTGCTGATTCAATTCCAATCCCGGTTTATCTAATTATTCCTCTTTAGCTATTCTGTTTTGATACTCTATTATTCTTTTTTTTTTTTTTCAATAAGTATTCTTTGTGAATACTGTATACAGATTCTCAAAAAAAGAATTAGTTCAGTCAATGATCTGATTCATTGTTTTCTTATCAAAATGTTAAATTTTGGCTCTTGTATTATTGCTTTAGCTTGCAGTGATTATATACGACTTTTTGCAGTATCCTCTGCTCTTGTAATTAATAAATAAAATAAATAATTTTTTTTTTTTTTGTATTCAAATACATTGCTGCATAATCGTTATAATAAACAAATTTATTGATAACAGCTGCAAATAATCTGAACAAAATTGGACAGTGTATAGAGTTTTCATTTGAATTATCATTATTGATACTACAGTTAAGCAGATGATAAGCGTCATCTTATTAAACGAATAGAGTGATCTGATAAAGGTAAAAGTTTGTACAACAATTTATTTTTAATAAACTATCAAAATTGAGATCTTTTGTCAACTAATTGATGTACACTAATAACTTGTTTTTTCTTTTCTTTCGTTTTTTTTTTTTTGTTGGTTAAAGTTGAGGGAAAAGAAAAATATATGAAGAATAAAGTCGTTTGATGTTATCCGCTTTTTTACCAGACACTCATCAATCAGCTTCCTACAGACATACAGCTCATACGAAATATTTAGATTTATGTATCATTCATCAGTTTTTTTAAGCTTCTTTTTTTTTTTTGCCTCTTTTCCTTCCCCATCGTCACTATTTTTTTACTGAATCAGTTCCGTAATTCAGTAAAACAAAGCTTGCCTCTTCAAAAAGTCAATTGATCAAAAGTGTTTTTTCTACTTTCTTGTTCAAACATCACACAACACTTATATATCACATAAACTTTGATGACGATCAATTCAATTCTTTTTTTCCACT